AGGAGGTGGAGGAGAGGGGAGGGGATCGGATGAGGAAGGGGAGGAGGTGGAGGGGATGGATCGGGATGAGGATGTAGAAAGCGGAGGAGGAAGGGAAAGAAGGGGAAAGATTCGATCTGTGGAGGAGAAGATAAGGGATAGGGATTATATACTATGCTTCGAATTTTAGTTCCGGTTGGGAACACCAACCGGGACTAAAGATCAAACCGGAACTAAAATGGTGATCTTTAGTCCCGGTTGGTGACTAAAGATCCTCGGCCCCCTGACATCAATCTGACAGGGGATGAACCAGGACTAAAGATCATTTTTAGTCCCGACTAAAGATCATAGAATGCCTCTGGGGTTTTCAACCGGGACTAAAGATCATTTTTAGTCCCGGTTCTTTTTGGAACCGGGATTATTGTGGTTTTGGGTCGACCCAGCAAAGATCATTTCTCCACCAGTGACATTTTTTAAGGCCTTGTTTATGATTACACTTTTACATCATATAAATTATATGTCAGTATAACTGTTAGCCAAAGCTTAATTTAATTTGTCTAAGAACTTCAAGAGAGATGCTTAATTATATTTTTAAACGGAGGGTGTACTACGTGGGTTTGATGCATAGCAGTAACTTAGGCTAGCCCACTTGCATTGTCGATTTGCCAAAAATCTATCAATTTTGGTTCACACATATGCATGTCAAAATATTGTCGTAGCTGTTCTGGAAGGACATTGACTCTAGTTGTTGGCTTGTTGCACATGCATGTATTTGAGTTCAGTTTAATTAGTCCTATATATGTACCTGCGATGAAGTAGATGGCGGCTACATCACAAAGCAAGAAACTAAATTCACCATATTTATTGCAAGATGCTAGGATGTCAACAAAAAGGACAGAGGTATAGTCCATTATTCATTGTCTCAACATCATATAATCAATGTGATGAGGTTTCCCAAATCTCTAGCTCAGGCTAAAGTATAAATAATTAAACAAGTAATCAAACCACACAAACTACATACTGTTTGTTATAAAAGTTTGCCGAAATTATAGAATAACACGACTAACATCTATGATCTCGTCAGTCATTGACCAACTAATATATGTCAGGAGACAACACACAAACATGATATTGGTTAACAAGTTTCAGCCGAAACCTTATATCCTAAGAGCTTTGGCTATGAGCGCTCCATCCGAATCAACATAACATATCTAACGGCTATAGGTCCATGATCATGTTGTCATCCTCCCTGCGCACTTTGCGCTAGGTTATCCACTATGGTTATATTGTGGTATCTCACTCTCTATTTTAAATGTTGTCAGGTTATAGAGCCTGGTGCTAATTTTACTGCTACTATCTATTACAACTCTAAATTTAATTATAGCCTACTATGATTAATATATATTCGACACATGGACGATCTATAGACGTTATAGCTATTAACATTATACACACCGGGAGTTTTCCCCTTACCACTTCACACACCCCAAAACTAAATTTTGCTTGAAAATAAAGAGAAGTAAAGTACACTCTGACCCTCCTATGATTATTGCTCTCTCAGTGGTTCCAAGTTGTAGAAACAGGGTGGCCACAAACACTGTATATCATTAAATCCCCACATCTCTCTCTTGTACCATTAGCAAATTATGTTCTCCCATCCAACGGTGGAATCAGCGACGCAGCACCTGGTTTGGACTTTGGGAAGTCATTAGAATTTGGCTTTGTCAAAGCTAGTTGCAAGAGGGACACCATCAATATATATCCTTTTTCCAGAGAAGGGGACACCGGACACCATATTAACTTGGTACTCATCCGGTGGGTGTGTGTGTATTATGCATGGCCAAATGGAAAAAACACAGAAACACACGTGCGCAAGTGCGACTAATTAAACATCAACTTTTTGGTGTAATTTATTGTCACAGAGATGTGATAAGAAGCTTCAGTTAGTGGGACCCCTGTTGTGAAATCAGCATCAGGATATTTTACCAGAAAAAGTCATGAAAAGTTGAAAACCCAATTGGATGTGTGTTAAATTTCTATACAGGTTCTCTACGGATTTTTTTTTTTTTTTTGTAGTGATACACGGTTGTTTGATACTCTATTGTTGGTTTCTCTCAATTCTTTATGACATGGTCAACTTAGTTCTCTGATCATGTGGTAAAAAAAATTATTTATGTGTTACCATGTCTAGTATACTAGCTAAGTCACCTTCAACAAAAAAGAGTTGTGGATGACTAGCTAGTTTTAAATAAACCTACAACAGCAGAGCTGTCACAATACAACATAGTATAACTTCTTGAGTTTTGTCAATTTTTATCGAATTCTATTGAATCCTACCGAATTATACCAAATTCTGGTAATGCGATTCCTGTTGATAACCGAGCAAACCTCGGTTAAAAAAAACTTCCATGACAAAAGGTTGTAGCTGTGGGGTTAGCTAATTAACTCCATAGCTAGCTTACATGTTAACTCTGCCACCGCAAACATAGGGTTTATGATCGATTTAATTTGTGATCTAGGCCGCCAAAAAAGAAAAAGGAAAACTTGTTGAATGATTTGCAAAGCTAGCTAGCTCGTTGTGTAGCTAGCCTTGACCATGTGAGAGTAATATCCATTGCTTTTGGATATCACCAAGATGATTGGGCTAATTTACGGCCGGTTTTGATTTGATACAAAAAACTTGTCTTCAATTCAAAGATTGTTCACTTCTTTTTCTTGAGCATTGAATTCTAAAATGTAACCATCAAGACACTCCCTCTAATAGTCGGCAGCTTCTCAGGCCATGTATAAAACATGGGGATTAATTTGTACTAATAGCTATCTTCTTGCAACAAACTAATGTGCTAACATTTGAACATTTCTATCGACTTCTTTCACTCCGAACGGGACAAAAGTGTCTGTTTATAGGTAACAGTGGCTACTCTTTGACTCAAGTTTTTTAATTGATGCCTGATTTTTAATTGCTGGCATTTTAGTTGACCTTCTAATAAAAAACGAAACTAATTGCAGCAGTTACGCAAAGCCTACTTGGAAGATAAGATTGGCAATGTGTTTGATAATATATTTAGTTGATGACATGCATGCGTAAACCCTATCATTCTAATAGTAGGAAGATGCCCTCGTGCTACCGATAGAACATAGGAATTTCATAAAAATCTCTCAGCAACATAAAACTGCTTTTAATTGGACGATGCCGACACAAATTCTCCTTTGACCTGCTTTTGGAAAAATATCGCGAGACTTTTTCGCATCCAAGTACTTTTTTTTTGGTTAAACTAATTTTAGCATCTTGGTCTTGGTTGACATTTTGATAGATGAATTGAAAACTCAGCGGCAGCTACGCAAATGCTGGGTTTTGATGAAAGATAAGGACATAATTAAGGTCAGATTTTGCATGCATGCACGCGTGCGTACGTGACAATGGGCTTAATTATTGTTTTTTTCAGGCTGATGTCAAAGAAGTACTACAAGAGAAAAACAGGGATGCATTGCCATGAATTTCAGAGGAAGTTGTTTGTCCGTTTCAGGTTTTTTCAATGGGGGCACGAGTTGCCATGACATTCTATAATCATATTTATGGTACTTATCTTAGTATAAAAATTATTTAGTTTGTTATGCAGTTGATTCCGAGTGTGTTTTGACCAGCTAGCTGCGTTTGACTCCGAGGATTTTGTCCGAATTGTGCAGGGAAGTCAACCACAGCAGATAGATGGAATATTTTCAGTTCACTCATTAATAGAGGCAATGTCAACTCTGGTGCCTTACAAACTGACAGCCGACCGTACGAACGGATGTAGGTAGATTCGAGCGCATGACAAGACCAGTTCTCACTAACCTCAGCTAGTTTGTGGGTAAAACTTTTATATATATATTAAAAATTAATGTTGAAAAATAAGCTACAGTACAAATAACCCCCCAAAATCAACTTCAAAATTTTAATTTTTGGATCGCCTCACTGCTAACTGTGCTTGATGTGCATCTTTCTTTTAACCTGACAAAAGAAAACTGTTTTTAACCTAAGAAATTCACAAGTAATCCAATGTAACATTTTCCATATCTTTCCTACCTAACGACAAACCTAATGAAAAACACCTTGAAAAAACAACCCAGAAAAATTGGGCCTAAAAACTAGAAAAGAAAATGGCGAAAGACAGCCTAGAAAAATTAGACCTATGAAACAGAAAAAAAAAAGGGAACGAAAATGTTGGTCCTAAAAACGAGGAACATCGCAGTTTGTTCCGAAATTGCCTCAAATCGGGTGCCTGACGGGGGAGTTAAAATCGGACACCCCCACGCCGCGCCTCCTGCGCACGCGCCGCCCCCTCCACGTGTCCTGCGCCGCACCTCTATTAAAAGAATTTGTTTTATTTTTTTTGTTCCACCAAAATATTTCAACTAGTACTCATAATGTTTCACTATGAATGAATTAAATGTTGCAGTGAATTGAAATATTATTTTGCAATAAATCCCCCATATATTATGAAAACCTTCTATTAAGGGAATTCGTTTCAGTTTTTATTCCACCAATAATGTTTCACCTAGTGAACTCATAATGTTTCACTATGTATGGATCAAATATTGCAGTGAATTGAAACATCATTTCGCTATTTGCTGAAACATTGTTTTTATATAGGGTGAAACATCACTTGATTTTTTGGAAACCTTTGTTTCATACATTATAGCAAAATGTTTCATGAGGTGATTTGGTTGTGTTTCAGTTTTTTATAAGACTAAAACATTTTCGATCTATTTAGTGAAATATGTTCTACGTACTTGGTAAAATAGTACCCAATCTATCTACTTGGTAAAATAGCACCCGATCTATCTACTTGGTGAAATAGCACCCGATTTTTGAAAAAAAAAATCGGACACTAATTTGTAGGCGCCTTGAGTTTGTTCAGTCTCAAGTCCTCTCTCCCTTCACACAGTACAAGCCTGAAAATTCGTCCTAAACATACTGATACTCTTATAATCTTTTTATGTGTCCGTTACATTGCAAGTGCATTTTGATGAGTTCAAAATGACGAAACAATCCAGTTGAATAAGCAACCAATCATATGAATTCCACAAAGTTCAATCGTTCGCGGTTTGTCCCAGAACACACTGAAATATCATATAAGTTATAACAATATATAATATCTTCTCATCAGAAAGTAAGCGGATAACGCGCTTAACCAAATTTCAGCCAAGCTGCTAGGAGACTCCATACCACGCTGTCTGATACTGAACCATTAAGTTCACACCGGTACTCAATAATATCCCGGAAACAGAAATCCAGTCCTACAAACACCCGAAGGGAAAACTTGCTAGTCCTTTTTGTGGTTCCCGTTGGTAGCCGGTGACCTGGACCTGTCTCCACGCCTCCTGTGAGAATCTCTGTCATGTGGAGAGCTGCCCCGACGATCCCTTGAGCGCGAGCGGTCCCTGCGGCGATCCCTCGAGCGAGAGCGGTCCCTGCGGCGATCCCTCGAGCGAGAGCGGTCCCTGCGGCGATCCCTGGAGCGTGAGCGGTCCCTCTGACGATCTCTTGAGCGAGATCGCTCCCTTCTGCGAGACCGGTAAGGTGATGGGCTCCTGGAACTTCTTTGAGAGCCTGAATTACACAGAATGAACATCTGGTTATAATATCACATATATTGTTGAAATATGATACAAACTCCGTCCCAGAATAAGTTAATCTAAAATGAGATGTAACAGAATAAGTTAATCTAGTACGGGATGTAACGAATCCTAATATTACGAATCAGGACATGGAGAGTAAGCCTGTCACAGATCAACGAAACTAAACTGAAGATTTTTATAATTTTTTTTCAAGAGAAATTCTACAAGGCTAGGAACAGTCTAATGAAAATATGGCATAGCCTCATTAATTAGGGGTATATACTTCCATTTTTTTTTATCAAACCAGATAGTTGAAGCTAAAATTAATCATGTACTGGAGACTTAAAAAATACTGTAGCTCCCTCTAGTGAGAAAAGTGACTTGCCACTATGCAACAATATGTACTTGGAACTTGGAACTTCGAAATGTATCTAACACAAAATTCCATAGACAAATCACAAATAAGCAGAAGCCTCTTCAGGTACAGTGAGCTCATTATTTATGGGAAGGGGAAAGATTTAGTTTATTACTGAAAAATAAAATCAAGAATTGACTAAAAAGTAAAAAACAAACAGTCCAGGGACCATGCTAATCTTCTATGTGTTGGTTCAAGTGTTCAACTTTATTGGATGACATTGTAAAGAGGCAGATGACATTTTGATCCTTGTAAGCTTGAATCCTAGGTAATAACTAATAGCAGCAATCCAAGCAATATGAGTAACAAAAAAACACTTGAGAAAGAAAGAAAGGATGTCATGTACATACCTCTGCGGCCACAATATTTTCCAGGTGTAGGAGTTCTCTCCCGAGTTCTTTTAGCCTGTCATGAAGATAGTTTGCACAAATGTTAGTATTCTTGAAGATGAAATAAATGGTCAACTTCATGCAGAAGGAACCTGGGACCAATTTGTATATTCGTTCGGACATAAATTGCTTCTTAATATCAACATAAGAAAAGTGAAATTAAGTATATCCATTTGCTAAAAATAATATAACAAATCATTAAAACTACGCTATCAAATATCCCTGTGATACAAGTAGATGGGAATAACTTTACGTTGCATTTCAGCTCAATCAAAGTCGAGTTTTGCCCATCTCCATTACTGATGAAGCCATGGTGAAGCAATGGATGCTGCCTCTTGTATGCATCCAATCATATGATTCATGTTGATGAAGCATGCATCAGTACGGTAGCCTGAGTGGTGTTGTCGTGACACGTCAGCGGCACGTAAGTTCAGTCGATGTAGACAACGTGTGGAACTTGCTGGATGATGAGGTCGAGGTTGGTGATGATGAGTCGGTGATGCAAAGCACGCGTGCCACATGTTCAACGCTCCAAAACCGCTAAGTGGCATCAGCCCTCAGGTTGGTGCAGAGAGGGTAAGCCATGTTGGTGAGGGAGGTGCAGACGATAAGCGGTGAAGATGAGCTTGGTGGAGTTGGTGATAAGCACCAACAGGCCAGCAGCACAAGCGGATTGGTGTCAACCATGGTCGAAGAGAGCATGGCATGCACCAACCAGGTTGACGTCGAGGCAGCTCACCATATAAACTGGAAGTTCAGGAAGTCAGCACGAGGAGTTAAGACCCCATTTGAACAGGCAGAGAAGAGGTCTTTCTCCATTCTCACACTAGGACAGCATGAGAGCACAACACAAACTATTTCCGTCTAGTTTATATCCTTTCACCTGTGTACAGTCCCTAAGTGGGCTCCCCTGAATATTTATTGCCCGCAAGACAAACTTAAGTTTTTCTTACCGTCTTTACTTGCAAGGTTGTAGCTTCCCTATACATCTCTTCAGGTATGATCCTATTACATCACAGTCCAGCCAGAACCTTTCAATACATATCATGATGGACCAGTAGTATCTATATCTGGTAGGGCCATTGTAATATCCCATCCTGATAGTAGGATCTCTAGGATGATGATCCTGCTACAACAATATCGATCCTACTCCCTCCGTCCCAAAAAAAAATCAACCTACGAGGGGATGTGACCCATCCTGGGACAATGTATCAGGACATCCTAGGAGGGGTCACATCCCCACCTAGGTTGATTCTTTTTGGGACGGAGGGAGTACGTTTGTGAACAAAATCCGATGCTACGTGTGTTTGGATGCTTTAGATAATTTTGCATGCTTCCAAGTTGTTCACAACATATTATTGTTATAAGCAATCATGTACCATTCTTTAGAATGAGCTACATTTAGTACTTTGTATACCATAAAAGTATTTTATAAAAAAATATCAAATTAGGCTCAACCCCAAAAAAGACCATGTCTAGTATCCGAACACTGACATACTAGTTTACTTATACTACATCATTCTTAAGTCCCAACCACATTTCAATACTTACCAAAGTTCTTAACTGATCTGAATATAGTTATTCAAGTTTCAATTTAAAAGTACAGTTTTCATAGGAAGAAACCAGGATGTCACTAATGCATCTAAAGATTCAAGATAAGGAAAAAAAGAACAGATTATCATGTCATGTTGGAAAAAAGTACTTGAGAATTTGCAGTTGGTATATATGGTTCTTATATTCTAGAAATGCTTCCCACAAATATACGAAGGATAAAACATAGACAAAACATGAGAACAGACCTACCCAGATTAATTGATAGGAATACAGAAGCAAAGGGATAATGAACTGTTTTATCAGTTAGTGTGAGATGCATCTTACTTTTTCTACAGTGACCAGGCGACCTTCAAGTACAGTGCGATGCAGGTACTTTATGCAACGTCTTGCATCATCAACGGAATCCATAGTTACAAAGGCAAACCCACGAGATTCTTTCGTACGAGGATCAAGAACAACATGACAGCTTTGAACCTGAAAATTAAATACTAATTAGCGAAGTGTGAAAATGGTTTCCAGAACTGATAATCCGATAAATGAGAATCATAATCAGGACAATAATGCATGCATTAACAAAATTTGGACAATACCTTTCCCTCCTTACTAAAGAACTTCTCAAGGTCTTCTTCAGTTACGCGAGTGGATAATCCAGTCACATAAAGGTTATTCCCTGGGTTTCTTAAATCATCGTCTCGGCTCCTATTCAAGATCAATAACTGAAACTCAGTACTATGTAGCTTTGCATAATAACTAATAAAATTAAAATGTGCAACTTAAGATACTGCAACTAATATATCATGATCCTTCAGCAAACAAACTGATCTTATGCTCTAAAAAGAGGAAGCTAAGGGTTAATCAGTTAATGGTATTGGTAGGTTACAAATATATAGGTATGTAAGTGTTACTTTTACACATGTGTATACAACAAGTGAGGAATTGATCTCATATAATCATGTATGCAAGTTTTACATTTGAAGATATGCATTTATTTGTAGCATTGTATATTATTGAACTTGTAGTATATCTAGCTGCAACCCATTGCATCACACAAAAATGATGCTAGTACTGAGAAATGTGCATGCCTGGAGCGACTCCTATCCCTTGACCTTGACCTTGATCTGCCATGTCTTCTAGGGCGAGGAGATCTTGAAGTACTGCGCCTCCTTGGAGGTGGAGACCTTGAATCACTCTTCTTTGGAGGAGGTGACCTAGAGGTACTGCGTCTCACTGGAGTGGGTGACTTTGACTTTGAAGTGCCATTTCTATCTGCAGGAGGCGTAATAGAACGTGCAGTGTACCTGAAAATATAATTGTATTGATTACAACGCATAAAAAATAAAGATTGTTTGGTGGAAGATATCATAGGAAAAACTTACCTCACTTCCTTGGATTGCGACATCTAATAAGAACACAGAGGAAAAAAACATCAGATATAAAAAAACAACTAAATTACATAAAAACCATTTGACAAAAAACAACTAAATAATTATGAACAGAAGTGTAAACATTGAGATGTAGCTATGAATGATAAATGTGTATGCTGCAATACTTTTCATGGTAAGAAAAGAATCATAGACATACTTAAGCCTATATATAGCAAGCACTCATTTAAATTGTGAACACAAGAGTATCAGCATCAAATCTTACTTTTTTAGAAAAGGCAAGTGTGCTTATCTAAAAAACCAGCAATGCAAACTTAAAAGATAGTTACACCAGTTTAAATTGATGTGACGTGATAAAAATAGACTATTCTAATAAGGTATAAAAATTGGCAGGTTAATGAAAATTAGTGTGGAGTTTATAGAATATATGATATAAATGCCCTTTAACCTCTTATAGTAATGTCCATAACATGACGTGAATATGCTGAACTGAATGAACAATCTTGCCATCAAGAACCTCATTTATCTCATATCTATACTCGGGTTACATTTTCGACAAACATATTCATCCTGGTTTACAGCAATAATCTATGTTGTTATATTGGGCTCTTAACACTGAGCGAAAATACATATTATTACATTGGCTCAACAACTGAATGCAATACAAATTGTTCATGTTAGGGTCAAGAGTAACTTGGGTGAGGGTGTTTTATCACGCTTTTCAAACACTAGGCATATGTAAAACGATTGCACACAAATATCTACCAAGTTGATTCCATTCTAGTTACTTGTATAGTTGTATGGGAATAAGTAAAAACTGTTCAACGATGCAAAAAATGTAACAGGTGCAACACAACACTCAAGTATTCATTAGTTACGTTGGACAATGAAATGGTAATACAAAGCAAGCACAAAAACATAGTATGATGAATAAATAATGCACATGAATGCCCAAACACTTGACAATGAATCAAGAAACAAAGCCACAACAGAATAGCACAAACTAATATGGTACAACAGCTTGATAATTAGCAATAAGAACCGTAAAGAAACAAAAGGCGCATTTATGCCAGACTAAATGAACAGTTAATTGGCCAAACACGGAATGTTGTCTAGTGTAACCGCAGCACATAATCTCTTTCTGGCAAGTAAAGTTGAAGATGAAGCAAGAAATTTCAATCTAGGCTGATCCTTTTGTGATCATTTCATCTCCTATTCCCTCTACAATTTTCACTTAAGGCCTTGTTGGGTCAATCCCCAAGAGGGAGGGATCGAAGGGGAATGAGGGGGAATAATTCCACACCCTCCAAATCCAACTCCATCCCCATGTCCGAACAAGGCTTAAAAGGAGTTAAGGTAAGCAGCGGAGCAGCGGTGGCCGGTGGGTACCTGAAATCCTCCAATCCCACGAACTAGTTAACTGCTGTGCACCTGGAAGGAAACAAGATGAAAATCGGTCAAATATTAGCAACAAAAAATGCGAGTTAAACAAAAACCCATTTCTATCTTCTCATTGTTCAAATAATTTCCGAGCTTCGAGATCCTTCTACGGTCCTACCGATTATACAAAGTCGATTATTCAGAGACACGATTTTACAACAACCCAGATCTTGCCAACGGGCGGATCGAACCCTAGCGGGTAGCGACCAAATCCGAGGAAGTACGGACCAGACGAGCACGCACAGGAGGTAAATGCAAAAAAGTAAATAAATAAATAAATCCTCCGATCGAGTCGCGCCCGCAGCGAAGAAGAAGAGAGCAAAACTAGGGCGGATCGAGCGAGAGAGGAGTAAGGAAGGGCGAGGGGTGGAGGCGAGAGCGATAGGGTCTCTTACGTGAGGGGTGGGGGCGCGACGGCGGCGGCGGCGGCAGACGGGGGCCGTGGAGCTCGCCGGAGGGGGCGGATCTGGCCGTGGGATGGAGGGGGAGGAGCGGCGGCGGCGGCGGCGGCGAGGCGAAGAGGAGGGGTGGGGTGGGGGATTTGGGGATTTCGGGGCCCCGTGAGCGTGATGTGTATTTCGGGATAGGGTGTGCATGCGTTTGGCGCACTGTGGCCGTACGATTGGTTCCGCACGGATGGACGGACGGATGGAGAGGAGGAGGAGCAGCGATGCGGCACCGGTGCACAAGATTGGAGGTGGGTTTTTTTTCTTTGAAAAAGTACGAATTACCCCCCCGAACTATCGTGGTAGGCCGAATTACCCTCCGAACCACAAAATCGGACATTCTTCACCCTCAACTATTTAAACCGGATGAATTACCCCCCTTGACCTAATCCACGGTGGTTTTGGTCTACATGGCGTACGCGTGGCAGTCCAGTCAGCATTCTATTTATAAAAAGATGTGGGACCCACCTGTCATACTCTTTCTCTTCCCCTCTCTCTCTCACGTGGGCGGCGGCGCGAGCGGCAGCGGCGGGTGCGGCTGGTGGAGGGCGGCAGCGGACGGGCGAACGGCGCGCGGGGTTGGACGGTGGTCTCACGGGACGGTGCCGTGACACCTCGGATCCCTCCTCCTCATCCTCGTCGTCGTCGATGCCGTCGGAGTCAGAGTCATGCTGCTGCTGCCGCTCGACACGATACTGTGCCATGCTCCCGCACGCAGCCGCCGCCGCCTCCGTGTCCCACGCTGCCGCCGTCTTCGCGTCCCGCCCGCAGCCGCCACCGGCTCCGCGTCCCGAGCGCAGCAGCCGCCGCCTCCGCATCCCGTGCGTAGCCGCCGCCGCCTCCGAGTCCCACGCTCAACTGTGTCCCCGTCTCCGCGTCCCGCGCGCAGCCGCCGCCACCGCCTCTGCGTCCCGCGCGCATCCACCGCCGCTTCCGCATCCCGCGTTGCCGCGGCCTACGCATCCCAAGCCGCCGCGTCCGCGGGGCCTCCACATCCCGCCCCACCGCCGCCTTCGCATCCCAGGTGTCGTGCTCGCCGAGAGAGGGAGAGAGAGAGGGGAAGAAGAGAGAGATTCACCGAGAGAGAGGGAGAGAGAGAGTGATAGATAGGAAGAGGAGAGATATAGTATACATGACAAGTGGGCCCCACCATGTTTTTTAAAAAAGAAAATGTTGACTAGGCTGCCACGTGTGCGTTACGTAGGATAAAACCGCTCTGGATTGGGTCGAGGGGGTAATTCGTCCGGTATTGAAAGTTCGGGTTGAGTCATGTCTGGTTTTCGGGTTTAGGGGGGAATTCGGTTGACCGCGATACTTCAGGGGGGTAATTCGTACTTTTTCTTTTTTTTTTCACGACTCATTTTGTTGAAAAAGTTTGAAAATTTTAAATTACTATGATTTTAATTTAGAAACTTCTAGTGTGCCGTGGGTTTGAGATCTGGAGCTGTGACTAACATGACATAAGTACTCTCGCTCTCCAAAAATATAAAGTGTTTGAAATTTGTATAATTGCATACAAAATATAACAAATCCTCAATCCTTTGTTGACGGATACGATAGTTTTTTTCATTCATATTATTTTTCAAAACTTATGCATAGAGTGGAGGAGGAGGACAAACCATCGTATCAATCATGGATAGACTTAATTTCATAATTGTTTTGTAAATATTTTTTGTTTTCCCTTTGTAAATAACATCTCTTATTTTTAATATATTTTCACAGTAGGAGCCTCTCCTACTATTTCCTATCAAAAAATATTCTTTTTTAAAAGAGAAAAAAAGAAAGAAACTCAGCACAAGCATAGGCTTACAACGTGCGCACACACCCTATAAATATACATGCATCCCTATTAACACCTTCGAAAAAACTACACTGGTATATGTTGAGATTAACGAAGTCACCATGGACGTCTTGCTAGTAATATGTATGTTACATATCACTAAACACTAATTTTCCTAGACTTAACTCGAGTGGGAAGGAAGATTCTATAAGGAATATTAGGGCCTATTTGATAGAGCTCCAACTCCTAAATTTAGCTCTAGGAGTTGGGTCTGGAGTGGAGTTGTGGAGCTGCCTAAACCCAGCTCCACCTTTCTAGTTCATTTTGTGAGAGAGCTCCTCTCAGCTCCGCGCCTGTTTTAGGTGGAGCTAAAACTGTTTGGCTGAACTCCAGCTCCAGGAGAGGTGGAGCTGAAGCTGTGCCAAACAGGCCCTTATACTAAAGAACCTACAAATATTTTTGTTCATGAATCGTAGACGGAAAGGGTATTTAATGCTCGGTCAAAAATATTTGTGGTTTAGGCTACAAATAAATTCTTAGTTTAAAAACATTTCTTAAAGAAAACTAAAACGTGAAAAAAAATGGTATGCCTAATTTTGCCTTGAAAAATACTCCCTCCATCTACTTTTGATAGTCATATTTCCAAATCTGAAAAATCTATTTTTCATAGAAATATTTTAATCCAACAATCTATCATCTTAATGTCTTTCTCGAATTTAATGCGTGATTCTCTATTCCTCCACACAAGATTGGCTACATGGGCATCGAGAAATGTAAATATTAATGAATCGCTTGTTCACGAGGAATGACTAGTAGCATGTTTAAATGGAAGCATGTTTAAATGGATGATAAGTAGAATCACTTATCGTTGGTCTGTGTGCCAAGATGAAATATGACTATCAAAAGTAGATGGATGGAGTATTATGAACTTATTACATTTTAGAGAGTTTGGCTAAAATTTATTATGAACATTTAATATTTATAATTGAGGTGTAGTTATATTTCTCATTCCGTAATAAAGTGTGAATTAAGATAAAAGAGAATAAATTCGAAAAAGTCATCAATTAGAGGCCACGAGATAGGAGCTAGAAGCCCATGCACTACTCGTAAGTCCATACTAGAGGGCTGGGCGCGCCAATCCTGTACAGAGTTGGCTGGAAAACTATCATGCGTAGCAGGCTGTAATTAAGAAGATTTATTAAGCAGGCGGTAGAAAGAACACACTAGCAGATACTCCCTCCATCTACTTTTAATAGTCATATTTCATCTTGACACATAGAACAAGGATAAGTAATTCTACTTATCATCCATTTAAACATGCTACTAGTCATTCCTCGTAAACAAGCGATTCATTAATATTTACATTTCTCAAAACCCATGTAGCCAATCATGTGTGGAAGAATAGAGAGTCACGCATTAAATTCGAGAAAATCAATAAGATGATAGGTTGTTGGATTGAAATATGCCTATCAAAAATAAAATTTTCAGATTTGGAAATATGACTATCAAAAGTAGATGGAGGGAGTAATATCATACTGCCTCCGTAATTTAATGTATGACGCCGTTGACTTTTCGATCAATGTTTGACCATTCGTTTTATTCAAAATTTTTGTGCAAATATAAAAATATTTATGTCATGCTTAAAGAACATTTGATGATAAATCAAGTCACATTAAAATATATGATAATTATGTAAATATTTTGAATAATACGAATGATTAAACGTTAGATAAAAATTCAACGGCGTCGTACATTAAAATATGGAGAGTACTAAATATAGTATAATAACGTAGCTCCAGCCTTGGTTACAAGACATCTTGTGGGGGAGTGGACACCAGAAGCAACATCTCGTACCGATTCAGCAGCTACTACATCACCGACTACTACCAGAAGAACGATCAAGACAATGTCGCCTGCGGGTTCTCGAACCTCGCAACGATCACTGGCCGAGACCACAGCACCGGAACATGCAGATTCGGTATCATGATCGAGGTCGACTCGGCCTTCTCGTGGAAGCTGCAGCATGTTAGAAGCAGCAACCTCTTGATGCTTCTGCAAGTGCTTCTCCAGCTGTCTGTCATTCTCATAGATGCTCGACTCAAAAGAGATGGCTGTAGTAGAGCATCAACCAACTGACAGGAGGATGAGGATATTTGATGTCTGCTGTCAGTATGTTCATCCATGTAGGATTTTTTTTTTTTTTGCTATTTTTTCCCTCTTTATTTTTCCCTGGTGGATGCCGCGAACCCGCTATCGCGATCATGCTTGGATTCTTGTTAGTGTAGCCTTTGATCTATTCAGTGCCATTGTGATGAGGATCGTGCCTTGAACCATTGATTGACAATCAGAGATGTTGGGCATTGTTGCCGAACCTGCATGCAACCAGGCGAGTTCAGACTTCAGATTCATCCATGTCGCATTATGCCTTGATATCCTTATACAATTTGATTCTGCATTTTCTGCTCCAAATACTTCATAAAGCTCTGATCACTCAGATCAGATGGCAATGGCGTAAAAAATCCTCCAAATTTACCAGGGCAGAATCATCATGAATGATCAGGAGATATGAACACCACAAAATGTGAGTATACTGCTGCATCGATCCCTGCACGTTGCATATCAGAAATCAGAAACCACACTATTGATCTGAAGCAAACAACTCGAGAGGTTCTTGATTACCTATATTGATTTTACCTGATATCAGGATGAGAAAAGTCCAGAGAAAGCTCGCCGCCGCTGCGGCCTCTCAGAACTGCATCTCCAATCCCCGACAACGACCAAGCGGTTGTAGCCTCCGTCTCCGGAATGCGATCCGCACGAAATCTCACCCTCCGTCGCGGCCTGACGAACCCTGCTTCGATCCCCTAACAGGTTCGCGAGAGCCCGCCGCGTCGTCGCCTCGTCAGGGGATCGGAGAGCGAGAGGCCTGATTACAAACATGAAAATGAGAGGGACTTTTCTGTAAATGTAACTCAATCTCAGATTCTCATCCAACGGTTAACACAAGTCAAAAAAAAAATCTATTTGTGCAATCTGACACAAGCAAGTTGACTTACTGAAGAACAACATATACTCCCAGAGTCCCAATGGTAAACCATGCAAATAGATGCTGTTGGAGAAGCCGGCTGCGGCCATCGGCATGGAAGAAGAGGACTGCAACGGCAACGACCTAGACCACCGTAGCGACAGCGCAAGCGACAATGACCTCGATGATGCCAAAGCGTCGGTCGCAAGTTGTAAAGGGATCCTAGATCCGTTGGCCTATGAAAGAAGGGGACATATCCGGTGAAAATGAGCTAAGTGTTGAAAACTCGTGAAAATCATACCTAAAAGTTTTGTAAATTCATGAAAAAAATACTAGAGATAGGTGTAGATATGAAATACATTCTCACCAAATCTCAAGTTCAAACTCAACTTCGTTTAGGAGTAACAAAAAAGACAAATTTCAGGTGAATAGTAACAGGACACTATTCACCTGAAATTTGTCTTTTTTGTTTCTCATAAACGAACTTGAGTTTGGAGTTAATATTTGGTGAGAATGTATTTTATATCTACACCTATCTCTAGTATTTTTTTCATAAATTTACGAAACTTTTAGGTATGATTTTCACGAGTTTTCAACACTTAGCTCATTTTCACCGGATATGTCCTCATGAAAGAATTTTAGTAACTTGATTGCCAGCCCATACCATTGCTATCTACTTCAGGAATCTGCTTTTAGTAACAAAAAGAACTAATTATAATCAGAAATCCCTGTGTGCACCTGCTTGCATGCATGCGTGTGCGGAATGGGGGTTGGTTGCAGCAATTACCTCTCTAATGACGCAGCTTAACCCATCTTAACAGGAGGAGGAGAAAAATAAAACCTGAAAAGTAAGTCATTCAGTTATTCTCTTTTCAATCCGATGGCCCGAATAAATGTGCAGTTGTTTGACCCTGTGTTAATGCATCAAGCTACCAACTGAACCCTCTTTCTCATGACCAACATATCAATCACTTTACACTTGACCAACATTCTTACAGAGCTCAAGGTTCCAGATCTGTAACACCAAGACAAAAATTAATGGTCTATCACAGTACCAATCATTGACTTACTTACCAAACTAATAAGGATGTCATGACATAATAGACGGTATTTAGTAGTCCATATGACAAAACACCAGCAGCACCATACCTCTTTAGTCTTGCAAGCAAGCTGACACACAAGCAGTGATAGATAATAATGGTTATAAGTTGTAATATTAGCACTATAAAACGAATATGCCATTCCAAGCACAGTTATCATAATTCACGAGAATATCTGAAAGGCTGAATTTAGATCATCCTATTTGTTATCTTATTTGTTATTAAAAAAAAGAATGCTAAAAGGAATCATACATCACTATATATGTAGTGTAAGAGAATTTAGATCATCCTACAATAAAAAAGAAATATATTTACCATAAAACAGATGATTTATTTTAATATACTATTAATGTGAACTGGTCATATATAAACTGGTTGTTTGTCATCACTACTTACTATCATTGTTTTAAGAGTTAGGTGCACTTTTAATAAAATAAGCTGTATTAGTACCACTAAAACAAATGATACATTATTAATACACTAAAAAATTCATCTACACTACAATACTACATAACCTGGTTTTCATCGCTTATTTTCACATATATGTATAAATAGTATAAATATACCATATCTACCGAATAATATGATAACACCGTTAAAAAAATAAACATGAATGCCTCTCTAATGGATGAATTATGTAATGCCTTAAAACATATAGGTCCCGCATCGATGTAGCCATGCCCCTAAAAACCATCCTACAATACAATTTTAACACTTAGTACACTATCGGTACACTCACAAATGATTATATTGGTAACTATGTCACTTTAGTTATATTGCGTATGATGGCCTTTCACGTATATTTAATGGCATAGCAAGTACCGCACTCTGCATTGAATGGCAAAGAGGGACAGAAATAAGGAGGGGTGATGAAAAAAAATTTTTGAGTCGATTTGTGGTAGAGAATAGACAAAATGTGTACATGAAGTTAGTAATAAGTACTTCCCAAATTTTAATTGAATACATACAATATCATGTTTTTAAATGAGTGGGGCCAATCATTCGACACTACTTAAAAAATATATAGCTAAAGAGAAGTACCACCATGAAAATATGTAAAACACCATATCATTATTTATATTTTGATAAAGATTTATACTTTAGCGCCAAATTTGTTTCCACCATATGTTGTTTATAATTATTTGAGACTCATTTACTAATTCTAAGAATGTACTTATTTTCACCAAAGTAGTTTTATGCGTATTTTATTGGATTATTCATGTTTTGCCAATACTACTTGGCAAAGAAAATACATAATTCTCGTGATGAATTAAGAGTTGTATTCTAGCAAAATAACTGTCTAAAATCTTATTTATTTATTTTTTTCAAATCTATCTATCATGTATGCTTCTCACTCCTCAAATAACAATCAAAAAGTTTTGGAACATTTCAGATACTTTTAGAATCTCAATATCACCAAAAATAAACACAAAAAATCCACTTAAAAATCAAAGCTAAATTCTATTGTTTTATTATCACTGGCTAAAATTTAATTTAACTTTTCTCATCAATCTATTAATTGTGCTTCTCATACCTCAAATAAGAAAAGTTTTGAAAAATTCCAAATACTTTGATAATCTCAATCTCTTCCAAAATTAAATAGACCTAAATAGATGTACTAAAAAAACAATGCTAAGATTTGTTATTTTAATTTTTTATATTTGTCAAGTGATATTTGACACCATAAAATACGATATGAAATTGTTTGAAACATTATTATCGCATTAACTATTACATGTTGGCATCATTTGTCATGATATATTTATCACTACAATAAGTTTACGATTAAGTTTAGCTGTGCATATTTATGTAGTATTATTTATAATAAAGTTATAGATTAAAGGTTGTTGACAACAAATCAGTGCTGAAGCTGATGATTTTTCATGATTAGTATTTCTTTCCGATACTACTATGTACATGTGCATGTTTTCTTTTTTATTTTTTTGCTTTATCTTTTTTCAGTCGTATATGGTGTAGGTATTTAAGTTTTGTTTTTTTCCCGGGAAGGAGACAATTGTATGATGTAAGCACGTTATGTTTTTTTCCGGGATAGAGAGTAGCAGCATGGGAATTTTAAGAGCTCTAATCCAATGTTTAAAATAGAGGGTCCACTAATTTAAGTGAAAATTGAAGGTTGGATGGTTTTCTTTTTTTACTCTAAATTTATAGGTTTTCTCTAATTTTATCAGAGCGTCACGCGACAATGTAGGAGTGTTTATAGGACATTTAATAGACTTTTAGTATATAATACTCCCTCCGTATTTTAATGTATGACGCCGTTGACTTTTTAACAAATGTTTGACATTTCGTCTTATTCAAAAAAAATTATGTAATTATCATTTATTTTATTGTGACTTGATTTATCATCAAATGTTCTTTAAGCATGACATAAGTATTTTTGTATTTGCATAAAAAATTTGAATAAGACGAATGGTCAAACGTTGGTTAAAAAGTCAACGGCGTCATACATTAAAATACGGAGGGAGTAGATTTCTTGGGTTTCTCTAATTTATTTGAGAGAAAAGTTTAATGTACTTTTAGTATATAATAGATAGATTTAGAAGATGGTTTAAAAGAACATTGGTTGGATATTTATTATAAATCTTAATTTAACTAAATATATTTATATTTGTTAAGTAATATATTTTATATTTATGTTGGAGGCATGTCATGAAGCCCTTCGGCTGGACCTTCCGAAACCATAGTACCAGCAAGGATTCAAGCTAAAGACGTCAAGACCATTCAGGTGAAACCCTGTGGTGAAAGCCATAAGCGAAGATGGCGAAGGCTGGAAAGCCGCGTCGGTACTCCGAAAGTAAAGGCATCTTGGGCGAAGGCATCTCGGGCGAACTACAAAGACTTTGCCATGACGAGTTCGGCATCAAGGAGGCCCAACAGGCCGCCCCCGGTCTTTTAGGCCCGTTCGCCATAGACCAGGCCCAGCCTATCAGCCCATTAAAGGCCCATATGTGCAAATGACACTGCGTACCCATGTAAATGTCCCTTTCATAAGGGCAACCATGTAAAATCCCCTGTAACCCTAAACCCTAGAAGGTGCAAGCTTGTGCTAAGGCTATGAATAGACCTCTAGGGCCATGTAATGGGGGGATCCCCAAAAAATTTTACGAATCAATACAATTGCTTTTACATTCCAACTACTGTTGGGAGAACCACGCCTTTCGACGTAGCATAGTTGTCCATTCGACAACAACTGGCGCCGTCCGTGGGGATACCCTGACCGAAAGGGCGAAATGGGACCCTTTTCGCCACACGCCACGCCCTTCGCCATAGTACCAATAAGGTACGGCGTCAAGGGCTGCGGGCGAAGAGGTTTCGCCCACCCACGCCCTTCGCCATAGTACCAATAAGGTACGGCGTCAAGGGCTGCGGGCGAACAGGTTTCACCCACCCACGCCCTTCACCATAGTGCCAATAAGGCACGGTGTCAAGGGCTGCAGGCGAAGAGGTTTTGCCACACGCCACGCCCTTCGCCATAGTGCCAATAAGGCACGACGTCAAGGGTTGCGGGCAAAGAGGTTTCGCCACATGCCACGCCCTTCACCATAGTGCCAATAAGGCACGGCATCAAGGGCTGCGGGTGAAGAGGTTTCGCCACACGCCACGCCCTTCGCCATAGTGCCGATAAGGCATGGCGTCAAGGGCTGCGGGCGAAGAGGTTTCGCCCACCCATGCACTTCGCCATAGTACCAATAAGGTACGGCGCCAAGGGTTGCGGGCGAACAGGTTTCGCCCACCCACGCCCTTCGCCATAGTACCAATAAGGTACGGCGTCAAGGGCTGCGGGCGAACAGGTTTCGCCCACCCACGCCCTTCGCCATAGTGCCAATAAGGCACGACGTCAAGGGCTGCGGGCGAAGAGGTCTCGCCACACGCCACGCCCTTCGCCATAGTGCCAATAAGGTACGGCGTCAAGGGCTGCGGGCAAAGAGGTTTCGCCCACCCACGCCTTTCGCCATAGTACCAATATGGTACGGCGTCAAGGGCTGCGGGCGAACAGGTTTCGCCCACCCACGCTCTTCGCCA